GGCAGTGTGAAAAGCTCTGTGTTCACGTCTCTCTGTCCTCAGGAGTCCTTCAACAACGTCAAACAGTGGCTACAGGAGATCGACCGCTACGCCAGCGAGAACGTCAACAAGCTGCTAGTAGGCAACAAGTGTGACCTCACAACGAAGAAGGTCGTGGACTACACCACAGCTAAGGTGAGAGGTCACAGTCTTCCATCAGTGGGCGACAGACGCACTCGGCATCCGTAGGTCAGTTAGGATAGAAGGGACTGTTCTGGGGTCAGCCATCAGCACGCTGCCGCCACGTGTCAGGAAGTAGAAGACATGAGTAAGTGGATGCAGACGCAGAGTCAGCACAAGAGGAGGAAGCTGCTGCGCTGACGCTCGCTGTGCCATCAGGCCTGTGCTGAGTTCCTCCACCTTTGACCTCTGATGATGAAGATTGCGCGCGTGACGGAGAAAAAACACGGGTCCTCCTCGCAGTTACACGTGACACACGTCAGTCCCCCGGGTAAACTCGGCCGTTTGTCACTACTTTGGATTTGACCTCTGTGACCTCCACATTTCACCTTTAAAAACTGTTTGTTGTTTGTTTCCTTTGGACACACGGAGTCAGCTCGACTGATCTAAGGTCAGACTGAAAACATAAAAAGTTGTATTTTACTGTAACAACCACAAACATTAACGTAACTTGAAATACAAATAGAAACATTTTAAAACCAGCTGTTCTGCATCAAAGTCACACAAATGATTTTTAATTTTTACTTCCTGTCCGTTATAAGATAAACGCGAACGTCACAGCCCGATACCTGCAGGCCTGAGGGTGACGTTCAGCATTGCTCTGACACAACACAACTACACACTAACTACACACTAACTACACACTAACTACGCCAAATCTCTCACATCTTAAAACTCTTTCGCTCGCTCCTTCTCGCCGCTGTCACTCTAAAAACTTCCCAGTCTTCCTAAACAACCAAACGCCGTGTTGCCATATTATTGTTTTAAATTGGTTTTTATTCTTCCACCAATAGGAAAGCGTGGAGTTGTTTGGTTTTTGGTTTTGCTTGAAAGCAGCGAGCGCTCTCGACCGCCGTCCTTAGAAGACGCTGTTTTTACCGTTTCTTCCCTCCGTAAACACGACGACGGCGTTGGAGATGCTGAGTTGGCAGCAGATCAGGAACCAGACGATTCATGTTGTTTGATTGGCAAAGAAACAGTATCGAGTATAGCTTTGGTCCAAACACACACAAACAACAGCACGTACGCGCTTCAGACGGCGCCCGTAACCGGCTCTGCAGCAGGAGCGTGACCCACTTCAGCTCTCGTGTTCGTGCTGAGTTCTGCGACTCGTGAATCTGTCTGATGAATTGAACTGTTTGCGGGTTTTGCGACTTCCTTAGAAGGAGCGGTGAGAACGCGTCGGTTTAAGATTAACTCGCGTTCCAGCTGTGCGAAGGACAAATGGGGTCTGAGGGGAGTCACAGCTGGAGCCTCTGCTGGTCGTCAGAGGAACTGCAGCTGTGAGGCTGAACGTTGTTTCTGAGGTTTGATGTGTTTGACAGCGATTCACTCACAGTGTGCCCCCCCCCCTCCCTCTGCAGGAGTTTGCAGATAACCTGGGGATCCCCTTCTTGGAGACGAGCGCCAAGAGCGCCACCAACGTGGAGCAGGCCTTCATGACCATGGCGGCCGAGATCAAGAAGCGGATGGGCCCGGGCGCCACGGCCGGCGCCGCCGAGAAGTCCAACGTCAAGATCCAGAGCAAGCCAGTCAACACCTCGTCCGGGGGCTGCTGCTGAGGCCCGAAACCGCCACACGCCGAACCCGCCCCTCCCCTGAGTCTCAATGTAACCATGGCAACCACAGAGTGAGAGAGAGAGAGAGAGAATGAGACAGCACGAGTGAGAGAGAGACTGAGTGGTTTGTAATTGTGTGTGCAGGCCCCACCCCTTTGTCAAAGACCCCGCCCCCACTCACACCGGGCTTTCTTCTAATTTCCTAAAAGTAAAGCGACGTGTCCCATTTTTAACAGTGAAGCCCCGCCCCCATCTCCTCTCACAGCTCGAGTTATTCGGCCCGTCCAGTGAAGCACACGCTTAAACCAGCATCATGCATGCCCTGCCCCCGCCCCGCCCCCACTGATCCAACTTCACGGGGCCGCCCTGAAAACGCCGTGCCTTCAGGCCGCAGACCCTCGTCACATTCTTGCCTTCGGCGCTCTCGTGTTGTTGGCGGAGAACTCCACCCCCCCTAACATTCCTGTACGCGCCCATGAGCATGTGCTGCACCTGGACGGGTTCCTTCGCCCGTGTTTCTCCACCTACAGCACAACCACGCCCGGAGAAGAGCCCTGCTGAAGAAGAAGCTCCAAACTGTACATATTTATACATACATGTATGATCTGCAGAGTAGAGCAGCGGCGGCGACGCGCTGCACGTAGAAATCTCAGCACGTGATTTGTGGCTGCGGACGTGACGTTTTTGTGGCACAAATTCAAATATTAAACCATGAAGGAGATCTTTGATAACTGCTCGTGCTCTGCTGTCGTTCTTTACTTCCTGTCAGAGCTCGCACCAGCGCTCACTTTATTAGGCACACCTGCACGGCTTCAGGCCGCTGAAACCAGAAACACATGAAGGTAAAACCACCTTAATGTCATTCAACATCGCCATGGTAACTGGTGCTGCACACGTGACCTGCACTGGAGCAGGTTGGAGGGCGCCGCCTGCTTCCTCTGCGAGCAGACGGAGTGTCTTAGCTCGAGTGTCAGAAACCACACGTACGTATCGTACAGTGTTACACTACACAACATAAATGTCGCACATAAACTGTTTTTATTAAAGGGTCATAAACAGGAAGTTCCTGTCAAAATAAAGTGTCACACGTTATGCTTTAACAATGCTTCCTGTTCATGTCTGGCAAGACGAACCTCAGGCACGAGGGCAGAGACGGGAGCAGGCGCCACAGGCTGAACCTGGTCTGCTGGTACAGCCGTGCGGTGCAAACATCCTGCAAACCTCAGCGTGCCATCGCTGAGCGAGGCGACAGCGCCTCCAACAGGACGGGCGCTCAATGCCCCAAACGTGTGTACGAACGCTGGGGTCGAGAGGAGGAGCACATCCAGGTGCTGCTGCAGGTTCCCTCCAATCCGTGCGTCCCCACAGCCAAACGGCTGCAAGACGGTGAAAACATTTAAGTTGCAGCAAAGTAAAAACTCTTTCTGCTTTTTAAGTTTTTCTTAAAGACGGAATAGAAAGAAATCTTCCTCCACAGACCTTTAAACTCTGAGCTCTGAAGGCGTCTGTGGCTCTCAGACCTCTGTACCTCAGCTCTGTCCTGCTCTTTTACACTCTTGTTGAAGCTTTTGTGTCACTTCCTGTCTCTGATTATTTCAAACACAAAAAATGCAAAATCTATAAAAAGATGAAGACAGGACGACCAGGTGATCCAGGTGAGCGCTCAGCCTCCAGTGATGATCCTGAGCTGATAACCAATCACTGATCAGTCCTCGTGTATCGTCCACTGGATGATTAGAAACGATCAGCTGTGATTTCAGAGATTTTGAAAAGTTCTGCCCACTCTGAGGGTCAGTCAGCTGGTGCAGGTGCAGCAGGAGGGGAGGAGTCAGAGAGCAGGTGGGGTTACCATGGTAACTGAGTTCCCTCAGCTGAGGAACAAACTTTTACATAAACCTGGTTTCTGTAAAGAAAAAAAGGATTTTTTGATAAACTACAAATATTCTTGAAGGATCTTCTGCAGCGTTACAGTACAGACATCCTGCACAGCAGCCTTTACATCACCGTTACTCTGCCTCAGTTTGTTTATCTGCAGCTTTATGAACAAACATCATGTGACATGTACAGATTTCACAACACGTGAGCTTTAAATGAGCGTCCTTCCTTTAACTCTAAGCTCCTCTCCCTCTCTTATGTTTGTCCATCTCTGAGTGAACTCTGTCTGGTCTCTCCCTGTGAAATAAGCAGCTGGACCTTTAGCTGCAACACTGACACAAACAGTTTGTGTGTTTGTTGAGCTCATAGAAACACATTTCAAATTACCTGCCACGTGTTGCCTTCATGCTCGCTCCTCTTCTGCAGGGCTAGCTAGATGCTAAAGTACCCAACTTACAGACACCTGCAGAATCAGCTGATTATTATGGAATCACTTCACAAAGTTGAGCCTTTCCAATGAAGCTCACATGGATTTGGTCCGTCCGAATATTTCAACTTCAACCGTGTCTTCAGCTGAGCTCCTGAGGAACAGCTGTAGGAGCCCAGTGATGTTTTTGTGTAAAACTGATGACTGAGGGGAGCTGAAGCCTTTCAATATTCCTGCTAAAAGGAATTTTTACTGCACATCTCACATAAAGGAAAGACGTTTGCACACATGTGAACTGTTCCCAGAGAAACCGTACGAAAGGATTTTCGGGGACTTCTTGACTGTAAGCGCTCGTCTGCTCACAGCGTGCTCACGCACAGGCTGATGCTTTAGGCCACTCCCACAACCTGACCGACACAGACACACAGACCATCCGAGTGGTTTCTTTCATTTCCAGATGACGTTTGTGTTTATTCATCTCCTCACTCACATAATAGAAACAATAAAAAAATAGAACTGAAAATGTACATCATACACCTGATACACAGATTTATATCTTTTTGTGTTTTTGTTTTTTACATCGGTACAAATGTGAATTATATATAAAAAGACGAACTCATGAATTCACCGTATATTCTTTACACATGACTGAGGGAAACGTAATCAGGACAGGATGAAGAGGAGGCTTCAGGCACTTTCCTTTAACAAACAAAGACACTGCTTTCAGGTCACCTTCCTCGCCACAGACAGGAAAACACACGAGGGACACGTCAGCAGAGACGCCGGTCGGACCGACGGGCGACACTGCTGAGCGGCGGCGGCGGCGTGGGATCTTACGGGCTGATCGTATGTTTCACGTCACGGACGACAGCTACACGTCTTCTATAAAAATGAAGCTCATAATGAAATCGTTTATATTACAGGTCATTTCAGTTTATAAAATAGACTTTTACTGTTTCACACCTGCTGTTCATATTACTGGATCACGAGACTGTAATACTGCTCTCAGCCTACAGGTGGCAGCGTTCTGACGTCAGCCGTAAACATCACCGGGTCATGATGTCAGCAGACAGTAAGAGAGCGTGTGGGAGGGGCCAACGTGACCACAGAGCCAACAAAGCGTCTTGGGGGGCGGGAATTTAAAAACGTTTAAACAGGTCAGAGGATATGAAGGGTCGTCTTTGTACCGACACGTGACGCCAGGATCATCTCCTCGCTGCGTTACAACATTATTCTGTTTTAATCGTCGAGAGCTTTTGGAGAAACCACATCGCTGCAGATGTTCTGCAGATGTTCTGCAGAGCGCCAGCGGATGATCTCCATCGTTATTTGTTCAGATTGAAATCTTTTCTTCTGGCATCGAGCGACACGTCCGCGTCACTAGACTTCAGGCCAGCTGTTGTGTTCGGCGCAGTGTTCTCGTCTGCTGCTCGACGCAGAGCTTCCTGTGACCTTCAAGGGTTCAACATTTTTACTTCGATGCATCTGGAAGCTTTTTTAAGCGAGCATCACCTGCAGCATGAACACGCCCACTGACCGTGCCTGGGGTGTCCGTGGGGGCGTTCCCGCACCACAGACCGCACCCGAGCGCATCGGATCCTAAATTTGCGATTAAAGGAAACTCAGGTGTGATCAGGACTCAGGAAGTGCGTCATCGTCACACTGGTCAGACCTGCTGGGTTATCTGCTCCAGTTAAACTGAAACCAGTTAAACACCCACTGTAAGGATCAGAAACCAGAGCTCCCAGCACAGTGAAACATGTTTCACCATCAGACTGATCAAAGTCAAACTCTACTCTCTACTCTGTTGAAGCAGCTTCAGCAACAACCAATGAGAGTGAAGAACGGTGCTGATTGGCTGTGGACGAGGAGATACACTAGAGCAGGGTTGGGCGACCTCGGCGTCCGGGTCGTTTACGGCCGGCGAGACCAAAGAAATGTTTGTATTTTACAAACGCACGAATCAATCAAACATACACGGCTGCGTATGTCCGAGTCAGAATCAGCTGATGTACGCCATCACAGGATCGCCACAGATGACGAAGAGTCGTGGCAGCCGGGAAGAAAATGAAGGTGGACGCTGCGTAGTCCAGGAAACGGACTAATGACGTTTTCTTTGAAGTGAAAGGCGAGCGAGCCGATGTCCAGCGCCATTGCAGCTTGAAACGTGACGAGCGGCGAGAACAAATGCGCTCACGACTCAACACGAACGCTCTTCGTTGGAGTTTGAGAGCTCAACGAGCGGCTTTCACGCGACCACAGACGGACGGCGAGAATATGGCGCGTGCGTCGTCACGAAGCTGAAGCCTCATCCTTAGTAACGCGGCAGCTGTAGACTTTTGTTGGTCTCTCTTTGGTTTGTGTTAACGGTACGACCCTCAGGGGCTCGACCTCTGACCCCTCAGCTTTGAGTTCGGGTTTGGTCAGCTCAGCATCAGGACGCCGTGTTCGCTGATTCACTGATTCGCTGATTCAGGTGATTTTTCTCGTGGCGAACAGAAAAAGCTTTTTTGGGCAGCGAGTGAAGCCGCTGACTTTGTGACGGTGGTGCAGCGTGTGTGCGCGCTAAAGCGACATTCAGACAGACACGCCCACGCGTCGGCCGTCTGGACACGTGAGCGTAAAAATATAACGTCTGCGTGAAAGTGCTGATCATGTGAGACTCAGGAGCTTCTGGAGTTATGAAGACCGACAACGACGACAAAACGACAACAACGTAGAAATCACCTCCAACTCCCCGCTTCCTGCTGCGAGTCTGTCACTGTGGAAGGGGCGGGGCCTGCAACGCCTTAGCCCACCGCTTTGTGTTTCCCGCCGCAGCAGCGGCAGGCCACGCCGCAGCGGTAGCACGCCCTGAGGGGGGCGTAGCAGCACATGCAGGGAGCCAGCAGCGACAGCCCCACCAGCGCCGTCCAGCGCAGGCAGAAGCGCTCGTCGGCGGTGTCGCAGGAGCACGGGTCTGAGTAATCGCCCTCCGGGTCGGACATGCAGTGGTACAGAAGGCTGTCCGCGCACCACATGAAGGTCACGCGCCGGATGCACGTCTGAATGGGGTCGGGCGCCTCGTGGCAGCGGCCCCGCCCGTTGTCCTCTTGATTGAACATGTCCTGACAGTAAACGCAGCGCGAGCGCTCCGCGTCCTCCTTCCGCAGTTTGCCTTTGAGCTCCGGGGCTCGCGGCTGCACCGTCAGCACCGCCCTGTGGCCGCCGCCCATCTCCAGGCAGCTGGGTTTTCCGTCGCAGCTCAGAGGATACGGGTAGGCGTAGTCGCGTTTGGCCGGCTCGCTCTTGGTAAAGTGCACGCAAGTGTCCGGGTTGTGGAGCTGGGCGAGTTTGACGCGTGAGGAGTTGGCGTGGCGGTAGTCCTCGTAGCCGGTGAGCCAGGTCCGCTCGCGGGGGTTGATGCGTACGACCTCCTCGTCCTCCAGCTGGAAGCTGACGTGGCGAGGAAACATATGCACCGCCTGCAGGAGGAGGTGGAGCGTGTTTAACGGCGGCGTGTTTGTCTGTCACACCAGCAGCACAGTCGCTTTATCATTCTGACCAATTAGAAACGAGACTCTCGCTCTCACCGTACTCACCTGGTCCAGGAAGTAGTGCTCAGTGGGCCGATGCTGCTCATACAAATGTCCCAGGATGCAGTGGTGCCGGCGGCGTTCACAGAAGGTGGGCGGGGTGAGCGCGTGCATCGCTGGCTCTCTCTTCTGGGACGAGTTGGACGAGCTGTCGGTGGCAGTCTGCAGGAGAGAAGGAGAGAAGGTGTTTCCTGAATCACCATAGTAACTGTAGCATAGTAACACATCACCTGGACAGGAGCAGGTTCAAAGGAGCACAGCGTTTTCATTCTTATCATGTTTTATATCTTCAGTTCACTTCAGGTTTATTTATATATATCATCAAATCACAGCACGAGCTAATGACTCAGTGCAGAGAGGTCTGAAGAAGAAACTCCCAGTGCATCATGGGAAACCCCCGGCAGTCTACACCTGTTACTGACAGAGCTCCAAGACTGAAGCCCTCCTCTGTTTTGTTTATGCATGAACTCGAGAGCTCGAGTCCACGGCGTCCACGCAGGTTTGCAGGCAGGAGGGGTTTGTGGGTGTTTGGCTGCTCTGAGCCTGGTTCTGCCGGAGGCTTCCTGTAAACGGGAGTTCTTCCTTCCCACCATCACCAGATTGCTTGTGCTGTATCTGTGACTAATCCAAACAGGATGGGGACATGTTCCTGGCCATAAACAGGAAACCCACCCCCTCCCGTCCATCACACTTCCTGTCTGACGTAGCAAAACATTTTATATATTCATCTTTGCGAGGACGTGCGTGTCCTCCCAGTCAGACAAAAACAAATATACCAGCTCCAGTGACTCCTCCACAGATCCTGCCACCATCACAGTGAAGGACTGGAGGGTCACGTGACTCACCGTGAAGACGTCGTCGTCGCCGAGCTCGGCCTCATTCTGCAGCGTGGACGAGGACGTGGTCGACCCTGGAGCGAGACAGCAGAGAAGCTGATGAGCTGCAACGTGAGCGCAGATGGAGGCAGAGCTCAAGCTGTCGCCACCTACCTTCGGTTAGGTCCTCCAAGGCCTTCCTCACGCCGCGATCAAAGGCGCGGGCATCGGCCGGGCTCTGGAAAGTCAGGCCGCACTTCTTGTTGTCCACCTTCCAGTGGTGGAAAGTGGGCGTGGCCTTCGTGTAGACTAGATCCTTCTTTAAGAAGCACTCAAGAATCACCTGATTGTTTCAAAGACATCGGACAAAGAAGACGACAGCGTTATCGAGAAAGATGTCATGGCAACAACGGGAAACACCGACAGCGTGAAAAGAGTCCTCTGACCTCTGACCTCAACGACTGAATCTAATAATGGAACAAACTACTTTGGGTTCAAACGAAACAACCTCCACGTTCACAAATGTTTTCTTTCGCTCCCTTAAACTGAAGCCAAACTTATCATCAAACCTTTGAGATTTCTCCCATATTCCATAGTTCATCTCCCGAAAACCTTTCTGAAGATATGATGCAGGTGCAGCTGAGACGGCAGTGTGTTAGTCTGCTTGCATGTCAATCCCGCTTATTGGTTCTTGCACTTGTGCTACAATCAGCTGATGTCAGAGGAACATAGGGGCGGTCTGCGGCGTGGACATGGACACTACTTTGATTTTTACTGGACTAAAGGACGAGATAATGATGAAACAACTGCATTATGCTGCTAACACAAGCACCTGCACAGACAGCATGCTAGCGCTAAGCTAGCCAAGAGCCCAGAGTGATGTTAGCTGAACTTGAACAGGTCAGACTGATGAGCAGTCTACCTGTTCATGTTTCTACAGTAGAATCACCATGACGACCGTGCTGGTTTCCATCTTTGCTTTGTGTTCATACCTAAACACTAAAAGAACGATCACGTGTGTCATTAGCAACTACCAACCTCTGTATATTTTATATATTTTATTTATTGTTTACTCTATTTAATATGTAAAATATGTACACACACACACTAGGGCTGCCACAAACGATTATTTTGATAGTCGACTAGTCACCGATTATTTTTGCGATT